CCACGGGAGTCTTCAGGAGTCCTGAGAAATCCCTTGAAAGTCCCACCTGACTCCTACAGGATCCTGCAGGATCCCGTAGGACCCCGTGACAGGAGTCCCGTGGGAGTTTTACCGGGAGTCTCGACTAGGGGATACTGGGCGCATCTAGTCTAGGCTAAGTCTTCTGCGGTGAAAATAGGCCAGGACTGAAAGCTCGGCCTAACTCGGTAGCATCATCGTGAATTTACGTTTATTGTGGCAAATTAGGCCTAACTCTCAGTCCGCCTGTAACTGTCGCTGTAACTGTCTGACCGCCTTCGGCTTCAACAGATTACTCGTCATCACAGACCACTCGCGATATCTCTTTTTCTTTCTATTTACTCGTTTTCTTCCTTCCACTGGATGAAAAGTACAATTGCAATGGCGGATGCACATACAAGAAATTACTAGATGGAAGCTAGCACAACAGCCAATACAAATGTGTCGGGAAGTTGACCGTTATAAGCAATAGATAAATAAGGTGAATCGCATCGATTCACTAAGCCAGTGTAAAAAAATGTCAGTAAATTTTCTGTACGTGGCTACTTTACAATATGGAACAACTTTTACGTTTGTTCCGAGGAAGGTCAAAACTGGATCTAGCTATCGTCAACACTGTCTGAAAGGACTAAATGATAGCAATGTAAGTTGCTCTTCCAATACAGAAAAAAAAGCTGTCTGCTCCGACGAACAGTAACCATTCATTCCGGCTATGCAGTATCTTGTAATGTTCACCACCTTTTCGCAAAATGTAGCAAAAGAAATACAGCAAGCAATAGAACAAACATACGATCACTGTAAATTTGAAAAAAGAAACGTTCATGATTTTTGACCTACTTTTCTCTGAGCCACATACAAAAGTTCGTTCGATCAATGAGTAAGGTCCGTGAAGTATGTAATCACGTCCGCAGATAGTCCGTAGCGAACACCGACTGAAGGAACCTGTGAGCGTTGTTTTCTAATCGAAGTCATGGAGGGGCGTTCGCAGATATAAGTTCCTAAAGTCAAGAGAAGTGAGTGTGGACGAGCGTTATGTTGTTTTTTCTCTTATGCTTAAAAAAGTTGCAACTTTTCTTCCTTATGATTGGGTCATTCATGATATATCTGACAGCCGCTTTTCCATGAACGAGGCAAACGTTGCCCTCACTTAGGTTACGTTATAAAGGATAAGAAGAGAGATTTGATTAACTCCATTTCGAAAGTCTGTATTACAGATAAAACCAAATCAAATCACAGAGACTCGATGAACTACACAAATTGAGTAAACAACGCTATGACGCTTTCAAACTTTTGAGAGTCACATAACTCGTGAACATGCTGACTTGATAGACTTGACTTCTGTTCCATACTTCGCTTCGAAACACGTACTCCCTCTACGTCCATAACACTGCCACATGACTGTATGTATGTACGTCCACCACACTGCCACATGACTATATGTATCATAGGCGGCGGAATAGGATGTGCTCGAGCACTCCCAACTTTTGAAAACTTAGCAGAAAAATCGTTTTTTTCCAACAGAATGGGTCACCAAAAAATCATTTGAGCACCCCCAAAAATTCCATACAATGGTATGAGCCCTGATATGTATGTCCGTCCGACACCGTGTGTATGGACGGACACACAAACAATTTATTTCGTATGACCATAGACTTACAGTCAATGGAATAAGACAATTTTTGAAAGTTAAAACAAGGTAACGATCGTCTTCACTCGCTCTGCTCCATGACTTTAGGAACTTATATCTGAGAACGACCCTTCATGTCTGTTGATTCGAAAAATATTTTTGAAGGTATCGGAAACAAAACAAAATTAATAAAAATTCACGTTTTCAAGGCTCCTGAGTAACTTCAGAAAAATTGGTAACTTTTGCAGAAAAAAAAGTTCATGAAACGCTGGTAAAAAAATATTTATCTTTTAGTAAAAAATTGTGAAATAAAGTGAAAAATCCTTAGTTATCATTATCGTTTATCTTAAAACAGATAAAAGTCCCGTACAATCTCGTTTTCTTTTATGCAAATAAACTACAATGAATTTACAAGATTTTAGCGAAACACCCAACCTTGCAAGTGTCTTTCTTCCGGAGAAATATCAATCATAACTTTATATGAGGAATGTATGATCAATTTTGTTACTTACTGTATGTACAAGTAAATATGACGATAAGAGAACAGCCAGTAATTATTGCTGAGAATAGAGAATTGACATTAGATGACCGGTGGAAGCTTGATTAGTGAAAGGTGGGGATTTCTAATAAAATTATCGTACTGAGCGATAGTTAATTGGGCGTTCCGTCTTGTTTTTCTTGCTCTATAACGAATGTATTATGAAATTTGAGCTATACGTCATCACAGTTAATGTATGTTGTATTGATGTTGCTTTTGTTCTTTCATGACCAAAAAATGTCGAAAGATAAATAAATTATGGCGCAGTTAGCTGCACGAAATTGTCTTGAACTGAGAAAAAAAAATTCTGGATCAAGCCCCATTAATGTCAAAGGATTGAGAGATGATCAAAAATTTGAAATTAGCCAAATCAAAATATTATCGATTACAGCAGTAATTACAACATATTATTAATCATTTGATGCCAGTAAAAACAAGAGTTCGCAATGAATACAATTTTTTGATGGTTCACATTGAGTTTATAGTTTATTTTTTGTAATAATTACTTTCGGAGTACAATACATAGGGTAACTTCACCGAAATGTTTTTTTCTTCAGTTCGCTTTTGAAAATGTATAAACAAATGCTACGTAACAAGAGATGTGAATATAAGCAAAAGAGAAAGAAAGTCTGTAGTTAAATAGAACAATCTTTGTAACGTCATAAGACAAAACAATACTTAAATTAAAACGAAAGACAACAAAATTAGGCAAAAAAAACCAGAAAACAATATGCAAGGATAGATAATCTAATACCAACAGCAAGAACAATAAAGAGTTACAAAAACAACGTAGAAATACTATCAAAACCAATCCTCACAAATACTTTATCACACATACTCACACTACCACCGATGTAAGTAATCACGTTGGCGAGTTACAAGAAGAAGGAAAAAATATCTAACGCTCTTTCATAAGGAAGACATTTCAATGCGTACTGTTAACATTAGTGTAAAGCTTTATCATTTTACGAGGAACAAACATTTAAACATAAAATCAAGTGAGCAGTTGTATCATGGCACTCTGAGCACGTCGTTACAAAAAACAAAAATTCAGCTTGGATTGGTTACTATGTCTGTCAAAAAAGCAAAAAAAATTCCAGTCCAATTTTCAGATCTTTTCTATGTATACTTGGTATTTAATCTTGGACTTGGAAGGGCACCAAATAATTCTGTTCCATCAGTTGCCATTGATTGGCTTAAATCGCGAAATGATTTGCCAATACGTTCCAAATCATCTTTATCTTTATCATTCGTCTAAGCAAAAGAGAGACAATAGATTTTCTAAAATGCGCTACAATAAACATCATTCACATCAAATCACTCTTACTATCCTCGCATTAAGTTCATTCTTCCTCTTCAACGAAAAGCTAAGAGTCTGTTCTCTCTCAGAAAACAACTATTTGAATCGACACGTTCGGCAAATTTCTTCATATGATCTTTTAGAAACTTTTATAGAAATCTAATAACACATTAGTACTTTTAAAAGAATTTTATAGTGTGACTAACATTGGACTAATACTGATTGATCTCTACCTGTGCAATTGGAAAACCTTGGCCTCTCGAATATAATTCCGGATGAATTTCTCTTGGCAATGATGTAGCAAAATTTGAAACAAAATTCTTCGACGAAGCTAAAATGAAAAATATATCCAGTAGTTGAAAATCTATTTATTAAATTAAAAAGTTAAAATTAAAAAATAATTTATAGCCAATCTATAATATTTTCTTACCAACACTGTCGTACAAATTGTCATCTATATCATCTTCCAACACTGGCAAATAAATATAAGAAAAATATGTAAGTCAACGTCTTATTAAACGAAAAAAGTAACACTTACACATGTCAGCCGATTTTTCGGAATTCAGCTAAAAAGATGTAATGAACACACAAATTCAAAACAAATTCTCTTTAGGTTTATTCCATAAAAACAGTCTAATTATGTATTCAAAATTTTACTTGGAACGTACCTTTGCATGCTGTGCCGCATAATCGACACCATCTTGAGAACTCTCGAAAAAATCCGAATCAATCTCATTGGGATCCTCATAACTAGAATGAAACAGAAAAAGCGATGAACAACGGAACTAACATCAAGCTTACTACAGTGTGTCAGTCACTCACCTCGTTTTTCGGTCTATTCCATAGCGAAACGATTGATTTGAACCAAATGATGTCGGAGATGTTTTTGGACTTGAATAACTTGACAGACGAAGTATTCTACGAAATAAAAATACTCAATTTGTAGTATGCCATGAGACATATTTAGAACAAATAAACGTACCTTAAAAAATTATCTTTTTCTTTCAATAATGTTTCTTGACTTGCTTGAAATAATGCTTCTTGTTCGATTTGAAAAACCCTGATGGAATATAAACGTTTGTTATTATACTCTCTCTATTAATTAAAGAAAAACAACTACCGAATCCTCTCTTCTTTTTCACGTTCAGCCGCTTCCATTGATTCTCGATAAAGATTTTGAGCGATTTCACATTCTCTTTGTACATTATCACCTAGAAAAGAAACAAATTGAACACGATTCAAATAGATCATCTTCAATATCAGTTTTACATACTGAAAAACGACACATTATTTGAGGAATTGAATTCACGATCTTCTGATAGAATAACTTTGGCAATTGTCGAATAATTTTTGTCTAAACAAGCGCGATCTGCCTGTTTATCATCCTAAAAGAAGAAAAATAGTAATAGTATCGTGGTTACTGTTGATGAAACTCTAATTCAACCTTCACAAGAGCAAAAAACGAAATATACTCAGAAATTACTTTATGGTATAAAAGAGATAAAAGAGACTTCAGTACTCAAATAATTTCTGATAAAGAATAAAAGTGATCGACGAACGCAGCAGATAAGAAATATATTATTTACTAGCAGCTGTTTATTCACAAATAATCGTCCGGGTCCTACATTGGTGACATGTGTAAGTAAATTGCAACCAAGACAATAGTTTAATGTTGTATCACCAATGAATTCTGTGTGAAGTAAGCTTGACCAAGCCTGATAAAATATAATTTGAATTGTTGAATGTTAGAGAAATATGCTATGATTTACTTACAATGTGTACGGGATAAGCATTTACATTACAAAGCCAATATTGCTGATTTGAACGTGGTGCTTCAATTAAATTTTTTTCATTCGGTATGAGACCTAGAAAAATATTAGAAAGTTTCAGTTATTCGAATAACCAAATTATCGTGCTATGACATTTACGAGAGCTATCGTCAGTACACTCGCTCTTATCTAAAACTTCAATTTCAACGTTTAAACATTGACAGTGGAAACGCATGATCATAAAGCACCAACGATCCTGATTAAATATAATAGAAGAAAATCTAAAAAGTATAAAATGGCGAATCAAATAAGTTTAAAGTTGATTTCTAATATTAATGCTTTAAAAAGTGCAAATCATACAATATACACGACGATGAAAAATAGACGAAAAATCCATTGACCTAGCTGAGAATATGTAAGGACTAAACGCTTCTAAGATTCAATGCCAAAAATTCTGTCATCATTTTTGTCGTTCTTCTCTTCTCCACTAGATAAAGGTAGAGAATGAAGAAAATGTAAACAAAAAGAACTATTGAATAAGGTAGAACTGGACTCATGCATAACTTCGCGAAGTTTAATCGTCCCAGTGTAATACAATAACGCGAAACATAGATTGGTTGGAATCCATCATTCAACTCTAACACACACATGGCTATATATACATCTAGATTGACAGGTAAAATTGTTTTGCTCTCAGCTGACATATTGACGAATGAGTCATTTTCACAGAAGAATGGCTACAATAAATAAAATGACAAAATCATGTGAGAGCTTTTAAAAGATTTCCTCAAAGCGTCTCTTTTAAGAAAAAATATATAAAGTAATTTGCGACACTAATTCTAGGTGTCAGTAGCTCACAGTCATTCATTCGTGGAATAAAACTGCCAGTCTTTAGTTTAAATACTTAGCCTAATGATTGTTTCTTGACTGATTATAGATTATTGCAAACAATAACAATGTTTACTTCAGCTTTACTTCAGGCACTATGGTAATGTGCGGAATAAACGAAATATGTGAAAGAAAGTAAACAAATAATAAAAATTGGTCAAGTCGAGATAGTCACGAACAAACTGATTCAAAGTATGTGTTGCATTGCTACAGTACGTACCCCAAATATTTCTGGATTTGCATCTGGAATCAAAACTTGATATTTAGTGCAATATTCTGATTGTGATAACATGTTTCTATGGTTTGCTCTGGCCTTCTGTTAGTCCAATGAATTTTTATCTGTTTCTTGATCTGTGAACGTGACGGAGAAAGAAAAATTTCTAAGAGATACTCTACTCTCTTTGGTGATTGTATTTAACTGTTGTTGTACTAAACTGCTCGACAAATGGTAATGATCACGTTCTGTTCACTACTTCTAAAACGTGACATCTTAAAATCACAGATTTTGCCTGATTCCCTGTAGTAGAGAGTAAGCACGTTGTTTATAACTTTATCTGTTTTATTCGAATCATTTTAGATTTAAAGCTATACGTGTTAAATAATGACCATCAAGGTGTATATATCAAATATAAGCGGTAATCATCTGACTACTGGACGTCAACGACAAGTAAAACATATATTAGATACACATGGTATACGCTATATTGAAATTGATATCAGTGATCCGAAGCAGACGAATGAAAAAGAATTTTTACAAAAAAGTTTATTTAAGAAAAATTTGAAATTAACATTACCTCAAGTCTTTACCGATGATGAACTTTGTTATGATTATGATGAATTAATGGCTGCTGTTGAATCAAATCAATTAAAACAATTACTGAAAATATCGTCGGTAACAACTACATCCGATCAAAAACAAGAACATTCATTGATGTCGTCAGCTTAAGCAGTTTACACCTTACTAGTTATCCCACGAAATGAAACCATATATGATAAGAGTATTAATTCATGGTCAGATTTTTTCAGAATCATTTTTGTTTTGTTTTGATTTTTCCATATAGGTTATTCCTTAGATGATATCTTTGATGATATAGTCTTATAATCATTCCGAAAGAGACGTCGTTAATTCCACATATTTTGATAAAAAACTGTCAGTTTCTCTTTTCTTATCGTAGAATGTTCATTTTTTTTTCTCTTAATAATAATATATATTCTTAGTTCAGACGCGATTACATTATTAATTTATTTATCTTTTGTTTTTATATACGTGAATTCTATTGTGCATCCATGACAGCACAAATATCTCTCGTTCTTTTTGTTTTTTGTACGAATCCAGTGACGCAATCGAACATTTGATTCACACAACACGAAACCGGTTTTTTTTTTGATTTTGTTTTTTTCGCACGTTTTTTGGCATTCATTTGTTTCCAGTGGTAGTATTTCAATCAGTTTTTTTAAAGAAACAAGCAAATAACTGTATGAATTTATTTTATTTGTTGTTTTTCTGTGATTTAATAGATTTTTTTTTATACTGAGACTTTGAACCAGAGAATGGGCATTAGCACAAGCAACAAGTACCGTTTAAGCTATTTTTTTTCTAAAATGATCAGTGACAGTATAGCTGTCACAATAAATTTTGTTTTAGAAAGAAACTAGTAATTCTTCGAACTTTCTTTTCTGAAGCCTCGAGCTCAGACGTATATTGCTTTTACAAATATTCTTGAATAAGGATTTGGTGCCCCGAATTTCAATGTAATTTTGCTGAGGATTTTAAAATGGAAGTAAAAACCATTAGACGTTTTCAAAAACCAAAGTATTTTGTATTAATTTTAAAGCTTTTATCGAACTGCATAGTGTTGAGCAGGTAAAATAGAGTACCTCTTGATATTCTGACATAATTTGGATAGATCTTGACTGGGTTATGAATTTTTTGATTTTACTCAAAAATAGGCACAATGGAATATTCCATCTAATATACGTTTTCACTAGGTTTTTGAAACAGTTTTGAAAAAGAAATATTGCCACGAGATTCAGCATAGTCGATAACCTATGCTTTCATGCATTTCTGACAGTCTAAATCTAACGACACAGAAGTCCTAAGGCTTCGAGAAAAAGGTCCGTAGCGCCCAGATCAAGCGAAGCCAAACTTTTGCTTAGATCTTATTTTGTAGAGGACGCTTCGGACTATCTCTCTACGAAAAAAGAACGATAGATTACTATGTCGGTTTCCAGAAATCCGAGCTAGTTTTCCAAAGATCTTGTAAAAAATCGATCTTCAGAATGTTTTCGAAAGACGATTTAGCTTATGGAAATATAGCTCAAACTATCGTGTTTCGATTGCTGAAAACCGCATATCTCCATCTTTTATTGTTTTTGAGTTATTCAAAAAACAATCGAGTGCATTATATTTTGGGATGAATAGTAATTCTGTGAGCTATACTTCAAAGTAAATTGACGTTGAATAAATTCAATTCAAACCGGACAACTTTAGAAGAGCTATAAAAACTGTAGCAAGAATTTTCGATTTTGTTAATCTACTAAGGAAAAGACAAGAGAAGTGTTCACATGTTTAGTGTAGATGGCAGATTAAGCACATGAGTATTCGATTTTATGAGCTAAAACAGATTGTACATAGAGTTAAGACAGACACTTCCAAGTAGCAGATGATCCGTTGATCTATAATATTCGATGTGTAACCTGAAATGAATTATTATGAGCATCGTAGTGGCACTGCTGTTTTTGTGACAAAATTTTTTTTTCCGGAATTGAGTGCACTGCATCCACTAAAATTGTTATGTAAACGACAATATGAATGACAACGGAAAAGAGTTTTCGTATGTATTCTATCGCAACTCAGTTTTGAGTGGTTTTAGTTATATAGTATAAAAGTATAGTATGAAGTTTTACAAATCATGTTCATTTTAATCCTTGAACTGATTAGAAGCTTCAATCGCACAGTATTGCGTGTCAATTATGGGAAAGTGTTTTCTTTTAGTGAGAATTTTCAGTATTATTTTTCAGTATGCACATACATAAACTGCAATTCTTTCAACTAAATCATTGATCAGGAAAATTATAAGTTGTCTCAACGTGTTCAGGTAGTACTTTCTGTCATATTTGCTGTTCACACTCCATTACATTTTCTATCTAAGTCAAAGCCATGACGCTATACACTTACATAAATCATTTCCAAGTTAACATTCTAACATACATAGAATTAGAAACAAAGACAAAGTGAGTTATGTCAAGCGATAATTACAAAATATAGATTAAACTTTCCATTTATATTTGTCGAACAAAATCCCGTGTGTCACAGGCGTGCATATATTTTTTCTCCATTTTTCTTCAAAAGACATGCAATAGATGAAGTTTTTTACGTTGATTTAGAATATCAGATTGATGTTGGAAAAAAGTTAGTTTTCATGGAGAAAATCTTGTTTTACTGTCAGGAAACTTGAGACCATAAGAATTAGAAATACTGTTACTACCACTATAAAAACAAGTTTTTTAAAGATAAAAGCGATCATGTAGGCATAAAAAACATCAGTTATCCGAATGTGATGGAAAAATACACTAAGAAGTTATCTAAACAACTGAAAAATCGATAATAAAATGAAAATGTAGTAAAACCATTCCAGCTGTACTGTTTAATATATATAATCTGAATAATTTGAAGAAAAAAAAATATGTTTGTTAGTATTTGGGAAAACATGTTTTCCCAACGGGTTTGAGACAGTTGGTAAAAATATTTTTTCGAACATAGAAAAAAGATAGTCCAGCTCATTGAGATGTTGCTAACATTTTTACCTTGTTTCCTTTCCGAGATTGTAGTTTTCTATGCATTTTTGGTCTATTAGGAGATAGGTACAAGATACTGCAGACTTTAAAATAATGTATAATTCGATGGCTTTTTTGGAAAATGTTTGGGGACGAAAATCTATTTTATCCGTCCTCATCCTTTCAATGTAATACATGTTCTTTATATAGAGTTATTACTAAAAAACAAAACGGTGAATAGGAAATGCATAACAAAATGGTAAGTTTCTTACGGTAGAAATTCTATCGTTTATCAATGTAGGATCCTATGGAAATATCACACATTTCCTATGGGAGGTATAAGATCATAGTGTACGAATTCTGATAGGAAACGTTACACGTTCGCACGGCAGAAATTTTACTAGATCAGCTATGATATAATCCTATCTGATTCTATGCAAGGATTCTTATGTTTTCCGCTGAGTATCGTATAAGATTTCTGTAAGATCTCTACTAGGATTTTTGAATCTGAATCTTTTACATAATCCCATTCAATAATATATTAGTTTACTGATATTATAGAATTTCTTCCGACAATAAATGAACATTGATGGTTTTCGTTTTACTTTATTGGTTGGCCAAGGCTGTTGTACTGTTATTATTTCAATCTTCTTGTTACGTGCTTTTCTTGTATTCATCAAAGATGTGCTATGTTTATTTTTTAATTATATATTTTTGGAAATAAAGACCAATAAGCCTTTTGCAACGCGTATGGACTATGAATATTAATTATCAAAATCGATTTACCAATTAATGTAATAGAAATTCCAGAATAATTATTCGGAGGTACTTTTTAGATCATTTGCCTCTGTTTGATATACATAAAAGAACCATTCTCAAAGTTTGATATACTGAAACAATAACTGTTAACGTCAATCCTTATAAAAAGAGTACTGCTCAAAGCGATTAAGCCATCAAGACCTTAGGATTTCCCTAATTGATTTTTAATAAACTCTTCATGATTATATGGCTTCTCACGGTATGACTGAAAGGATGATCAAAACTAAAACAAATTCTTTTTTATTAAATTTTTGTAACTAGCGACTAAAAATCATGGATCAGACATATATCAGTGCGAAACATGACTTTGAAGAGCTATAAGTAAAAAGTCGGACCAGCTAGTGAAGGAAAGGACTATTGAACAAGAAAAGAGATGCAAAAACTCACAGAAATAGGAATTTTTTAAATGTACCATCAGTGGCCTAAAATTTTACCATCTAATTCTCCAATGGGCTTAGGCGGAAGAAGATCACTTTCTATCAATGTATTAAGAGAGCGCTAATAAAAAAGCTGCCCTGCTGACAGCTCGAGAAGTTGAAAATAAAACGAATTTTTTTCTGATAAAAATTCGAAAAAAATTTTCTTTTATTATTTTAATACCTCGGCTGTTTTAAATGGTAAACCGAAGTTTTTTCTTATTTTTTATTCACTTTATTTTTTTAAAACCGATACAAAATGAGTTTTCTTACAAAACACTTCGTTATTGCGCTATATAGAGTATCTAGACGTTGGTGGGATACCTCCTTTTCCAGAACCAAAACACATTGATCCCGTCCATGTCTAAGTATGCCGCTGTCTTTTGGAAAGAATATGGGGCTTTAAAGGAGTTAATCAACATTAGAGGAGTCCATGAGAATATATTTTTTACTCAGTTTAGCATTTAGCTGCATAAGCACTTAAATCACTATCCATATAAGAATTTTAAATTTATCGTATCTATTTTCCACGTACGTACGCGCTGCCGGAAAAAAAGGATATTTTTTCATGCATCAGAACGTATGTGTGTTACGCACGACTACGCAGTACTATTAGGAGTGTGTCATATTGCTTTAGTTGATGTTTTTATTCGTACATTTGTGTGTTTAAAAACAAAATGACATCCAAAATATAGCAGAAATTCCGTTAGTGTGTTAAATGCGCGAAGTATCATATCAAGTCACTTTTGTTAATCAAGAATCGTACAATTTCATGCAGAAAGATTTGTGATATAATGCGTTTATCAGCACTCAAATTCCTACATGGACACTACATATATGATCCTCTGTTACTAATTGTGGATTTTTTTGTTGAACTGAATAAACATATTATATAACAGTTCGTTCGATATTTATTACACTCATGATCAATAGA